AGTGCTAGGCCTCTTGCGCAAGAGCTCTTCCTCAAGAGGGAAGTGTCGACGAGCAGCAGGCTATCAGAGCTTTCTTGTTCAAGAGAACATCCACACTGCCATGCATGCTCTTGCACAAAAGCACATGGCTGTGTGGACGTGTTCTTGCGCAAGAACCCGTCAGTGTAGACATAGCCTGGCTGTGTAAGATACCCACCATAGAAGAAGATGGAGAGAGCAGAGGCCATGATGGGCTCCATAGTGCTCTCACCAACACTTAGCCTGGCTGTGTAAGATACCCACCATGGAAGAAGATGGAGCGAGCAGATGCCATGATGGGCTCCACAGTGCTCTTACCAATACCCCAGTGCCCAGCTCCACCCAGCCCCAAATAAAGATCTGAGTGGGTGGCTTCAGCTACAAGAAGCCAATAATATTTCAGCTCTTCTTGCATCCATCACGCCTTGTCACTAATCTGCAACAAGAAGCCAATAATATTTCAGCTCTTTCTGTATCCATCACGCCTTGTCACTAATCTTCAGGTGACATCTCGTGTGGTCACAGTAATCAGAGATCACTGCAAAACCAAGGAAATCCTGAAACCATCAGCATGTAGCTCCAGCTTGTCCATGTCTCTGTGGGAAGGGAGGGAGTTCTCTCTGCATGTGCCCTGCAGCCTTGTGGAGGGTGCACCAGGCGGGAGCCAGGTGACTACAAGGTCAGAGATTCAGTCTTTGACTGACCATTATTTCCATGAAGATTCCCCTCCCCCTTTCTTTCTTTCCAGGATCATGCAGCTGATCACTCATGTAAATAAAATTGGTACATGATCATGCCATTAAAGGAAGGTGTCATGAGGCCTGTTAGTGAGGGGGGCAGAGTTAAGGTTGTTTGGAAAACAGTATGTGGCATTTCCTGGTTCTGGAGGGTTCCAGCTGCCCACATGCGACATGAGCCCTGCACCGAGCAATAAGGAACTTTGCTGCTCCTTGTGCCACAGCTGACCAGTGTTGGTGCCTTTACAGCATAATGCCTGGTTCTAAGGGTCTTTTCTCAGCCTGTGAATTAAATAAACCACGTTCAAAGGAAAATCAGAGCAGGAGGAATTCCAGCCAAGGCCTTCAAAGGGTCACCAGCGTGACAGCCCCTTTTGGGGGGGTCCACTTTCTCTCAGGGCTTGAGGCCCTTCACCTCCTGGCCCGGCACCTCTCTGAGGCCCCAGCCTGTCTATGATGTGGGCACGTTCAGGGACCCCATTCCTAGAAGGAATAGTACAGCCCTCTTGTCCAGCCCAGAGCGACTCTCAGCCAATGTCAAACAGGAGGGTTTATTGAGCTTTGAACCCAGCACAGGAACCCTCAGCCCTGCAGGCCTGGCTCCCTTCAGTCCAGCACTCTGAATCTGCCCCCCGTCCCATCCCTTTGTCCCAACTGATCCGGTATCTGTGTGCGAGGAGACACTGGGATGGTGAGTGACAAAAGGGAGATGTTTTGGCTTTGGAAAAATATATTTTTGTAAATAATTTTCATCCCAATGGATGAATTTTTCTGATTTCACAAATCAAACTTGTTTCACGTTCATGGGATTTTCCAACAAACTGTTTCCAGTCAACATTTCCCACCATCTCAATTGCTCAGTCTGTCCCTGCTGGGAAGATTTCTTGTCTGCTGGTTAGGGCAAGAATGAGACCGACTGGCTTTTCTCATTAGCTCTGTCCTCACCCTGCGGCTGGGAAGATTTCTTGTCTGCTGGTTAGGGCAAGAATGAGACCAACTAGCTTTTCTCACTAGCTCTGTCCTCACCCTGCATCCTGGGCTTGGGCATTTCCCGTCTCTGCGCCTCAGGACCCTAAGCTGCCCAGTGGGAGGAGAGACACTTGTGTGACTCCTAGCAGAAGTGAGTCAGGGCACAGAATGGGCATAAAACTCTGTGTGGAGGAGAAAGGGCCATTTCATGGTTCTGAGCGCCAAGGCATCTGAAATGTGCTCAAATCTCTAAGGCAGAGAATCAAGTAATGTGTGAGGACAAAGCCCGCAGTGGGGTGTGAGAGAGAGAGAGCCCGGGGGGCATGTTTAGGGTTTCCTCAGGGCTTCACACTCCTCACTGTCCTGTGGAAGGTAGAGCCCCTGGACCCTGGCTTTCCCTTCACAAGGGCTTGGCAAACCTCCTGGCTGCCAGGCTGAGACCTGCTGGCAGGATACTCAGACACCGACAGGTGCCAATACAGCTCAGTGGTGAGCCTGACAAGGAGGGTGAGAGGCAATTTTTCCTGGACTCTGGGAAAGGGAGATGGGAAGATCCATTTTCCATCCTGTGTCCCCAGGTGGGATCCCACTGGGCCCTCCTTGACCAGGGCAGTGAGTGCCAAGCAATGTTGGGCCTTTCCTCAGGCCCTCCTCTGTCAGGCCACTCCAGGCAAGAAAAACCAGGGGCTTTTCTTCCTCCAGGGCCAAAGGAAGGAGCTGAGACATGGAGCCAGAGCTCTGCCTGACTCAGTTGGGTGCTGACCACAGGCCCCAGGCAGGCCTGGAGAGAGAGAGAGACCCATAACCCACCCCCCACCATGGAAGCCAGAAGATGTTTCCCAGAGTCTCTGGTCCCTTCCTACAGCAACAGGAGGCTGCCCAAGGACTCAGCCCGTTCTCTGCTATGGGCACTGAGATACCTGGGAGGGAGGGGGTGGTCCTCACAGCCACACACTGCTCCCCACCAAGGACATTAGAGTGGGGAGGGACAAGGGATCTGTCCCCTTCCTGATGAGCTTTGCCTTGATCAGGGAGTCTGGGAGGATAGGACCAGCCCCGACATGGAAAATGGTCCCAAGCTGGAGAGACAGTGACAAGCTGTGACCTGCAGGACACACATTGTCCTGGGGGCACCAAGCCCCTTCACAAGCTCTGTGCTCCCTGACTCAGATATTCCCCCTCAGCACCATGTCCCAAGCCCAGGGGATGGGGAGGGGCCATTTGCACAGCCCAGTGACTTTGACCTGCCTCCCTCTCTTAATAGTTAATTTGGTATACTAATTTAGAATATATATATATAATCGTGTTGCATGTTTATAACTATGTTAACTACTTTAATGTTAAAAAAGTGATTTTATGTAAAAGAAAATGGAGTCGGTCCCTTTGACACTCTGGGCTCCATCTTGGGCCTTGCCCTCCCCCTTTGGAACATTCAGAGGCCTTTGGGGAACCGGTTCCGACCAGATTTTCCCGCCTTGGCGAGAGTTCCGCTCCCCTCAGGTGTGGCACCAAGAGGCCCATATAAGCCTGTGAGCGTTGCTGGTCCCTGTTCTGGGGCCAAATTAGAGCCAGTTCCCCTGAGAAGGGAAACGCCTCATCCCATTCTCTGGCCCCCAGAACTAGCCTCTCTCCAGTTACATTACTGCACAGACAAAGCCACTGGGGATATTTTGAAAAGCTTCTAAGCCCTGTTTTGCATTTTCACTCACTTGCAAAAATATGGAGGTTTGCACATTTTTAAATTGTTTCATTTATTTACACATTCACAGTTGCAAGAAATTATGGAAGAGTCAGACAGTCATTTCTTAATGACACTCAACATTGTGATTCAAAAGCTGATAGCCTAATAGCCATTGAAGCACAAATTGTCAGAGACATGAAGTACAGTGCTATACACAGACAGACAGATGCACATTTCTAAAATATATAGTTAGAAAATACACAGCATGATCCCAAAATTAGTAAACTCAACAAAATGCTATTACACACCGCCCATTGCTTGCAGAGGACATCTTGGAGGGTGGTGGCAAAAGTGGGATTGCTCTCCCAAGGGCTTTCTGGCAGGCTTTGCCTTGCCTCACTGATAGCTGATCATGTCTATCCTGAACACATGGAGCCTTGAATGATACCCACCAGAGGGCTGGAATAGCTAAGCTGTCGCAGTTGTGCTAAGTTAGGGATGTGGCAAGGCAGAGAACCATGTTATGTCTCTGGTCAACCAGGCAGAGGGGACAACTCCCTCCCACTTGAATGGACTCTGGAAAAGTCTCCTGTGATGAGATGAAAATGGGACAGAGAAAATAGCTTGGGGGATTCTGCCCTCCCTGTTGCCTGGTGCAGCAACGAGGGGACAGCCCATGACATTACATTAAAAAATGGACAAAAGACATAGTCACACACTCAGGCTAGGTCTACACTGCCCCTTTCTGTCCAATAAAGCTACGCAAATTGCATACCACTAGCTATGCAAATTGCACACCACTCCCACTGGGGAGTCCATCAAAAGCATCCCAAGACCCCCAATCACTTTGTCAATAAAGCAATATGAGAGAAAAATATCATATTGCCTCTTTAAATCAGTGATACGCCACATCTTTAACACGGTGTGCAGGTGAGGTCGCCCCATCCCAAGGATGATACATTGAAATTGTTAAAGATAAAGAAAAAGGCAACAAAATGACTAGTGGTATGAAACAGCTTCCATATGAAGTGAAGACTACGACCTTTCTGATTGGAAAAGAGACAATTAAGGGGAGAAGAGAGAAGTTTATCAACACATGACTAGTGTGGAGTAAGAAAAGACTCAGGTGTGTGTAGTTGAGGGTGTCCCTGCTGCTCTGCATATGTGTTAGTTCCACCAGCCCCATCCCTGAGGAGAAAAGAACCCAGGTGTCCTGGTAGAGCTAAGTGAGAAGGTTCCCCAGGCACCTCTTGGGTGGAAACTCCATGCCCAAGGGACCAATGTGTGCAATGCTGTCTGTGCAGCTATGGAGCAACAGGCTGGACCTTCCTCCCTGTCCTCCCCAGACCCCCAGCCACATCCTTATTCCTCAGGCTGTAGATGAGGGGATTCAAGGAAGGCGCCACAATAGTGTAGAAGACAGCCGCCACCCGGTCCTTTTCCTGGGTGTCACTGAGGTCTGGGTAGATGTAGGGTGAAGTCACAAGTGTCCTAGTTTGCCTCGGATCTAAAATACATCGACCTGCACGACATCCCCACATGCCTCTTGGGTGGAAAGTCCCTGCCCAGGGCCGCGATGGAACTGTGAGACGCACTCAGGTGCCCCAAGTCAAGATTTTCTTCTTTGCCCTCCTCAGGGCCGCGGCCACGTCCTTGTTCCTCAGGCTGTAGATGAGGGGGTTCAGGGTGGGCACCACGGCGGTGTAGAAGAAGGTCACTTGCTGTTTGTATCCCGGGATACTGCTGGAATCTGGGTGGAAGAAGAGCCAGACCAAGGTGCCATACGAGAGTAACACCACGGTCAGGTGGGAGCTGCAGGTGGACAGGGCCTTGCGCAGGGCTTGGGTAGAGCGCAGGCGGGCCACGGCCACCCCGATGCGGACATAGGAGGCCAGGATGAAGGCAAAAGGGGTCAGCACCACCAGGAAGCCCTCAGTGTAGATCACTAGCTCGATGGTGATGGGGCGGGTACAGGATAGGAGCAGAAGGGGCGGCAGGTCACAGAAGAAATGCTGTAGGCGGTTGCCACAGTAGTGCAGCTCAGCGATCATGATGGTATGCAACAGGGCATGTGGAATCACCACAGCCCACGAAGCAGCCACCATCTTGAGACACAGAGACCATGTCACCACAGCAGCGTAACGCAGCGGGTCGCAGACGGCTACGTAGCGGTCGTAGGCCATTGCAGCCAGCAGGTAGCCCCCCATGTTTCCCATAGCCACACAGATGAAGAGCTGAACCATGCAGCCAGTGAAGGAGATGGCCCCATGCTGGGTCAGGATGTGCACCAAGGCCTGAGGCACGATGACAGACACCATGCACATGTCTGCTATGGCCAGCTGGCTGAGGAGGAAATACATGGGGGTGCGTAGCAGGGGGTTGGCCCACATCAGCCCCAGCAGCATGGAGTTGCCAATTACATTTACCAGATAGGTGGCCAACAGCCCTGCAAAGATCAGAGGCTGCAGTTCCTGGCGGTCAGACACACCCGAGAACACGAACTCAGAGACGGACGTCCAGTTGGCCTCATCCATCACAAGGGGCCACAGCAGCACCTGAGTGGGGAGGAGAAAGGTGTTGGCAGTCATGTAACATGCTGATGTATTATGCAAGAGCTCTACAGATGTTGATTTAAATCTGTTGCTCGTTAGAGACTCCAGCAAACCCTCACTCATTTCTGGTACTGTTTACTGGCTTTCACTGGTAAAAATGCACACCTTATCTCTCCTCTGTATTTGTCTAGCTTCTGCCTCCAGACCCTGCCCTCAGTCTTCATTAGTCTACCATATAAGTTCTCTATAAAGTTTTGCCTACTGTCGGAGGCCAGAGCAGCCCACCTACAGGGCAGTTTTCCTCAAAACAGGGATAAGTCTTGGAGGAATAGTCTGTGTTTATGCTGCTTACTATGTTGGGGTATGCCTACACTACGAAGTTAATTCGAACTTACAGCCGTTAGTTTGAATTAATTTTCATAGGCTCTACATATGCAAACCGCTAGTGCGAATTTAAATCGAACTAGCGGAGCGCTTAATTTGAACTAGGTAAACCTCATTCTTTGAGGACTAATGCCTAGTTCGAATTAAGTAGTTCGAATTAAGGGCTGTGTAGCCACTTAATTCAAACTAGTTGGAGGCTAGCACTTTTTACAGCCGTTAGTTTGAATTAATTTTCATAGGCTCTACATATGCAAACCGCTAGTGCGAATTTAAATCGAACTAGCGGAGCGCTTAATTTGAACTAGGTAAACCTCATTCTTTGAGGACTAATGCCTAGTTCGAATTAAGTAGTTCGAATTAAGGGCTGTGTAGCCACTTAATTCAAACTAGTTGGAGGCTAGCACTTTCCAGCTTGCCCTGGTGGCCACTCTGAGACAAGCCAGGAAAACTCTTCTGACCCCCTCCTGGCCCCGGAGCCCTTAAAGGTCTGGTACGGTGCCCATGCCAGGTGTAAGCCTGTCAGCACCGAGCCAGCAGACCCTGCACCTGGCACG